AAACGAATAATAAAAGAAATTTCATTTTGTGTTTCTTTTAGTTCTTGATCAGAGTAGAAGCACCGCAAACCGATTTTTATACATGTGAACTGGACCTTACTCAACCACAAAACATGAGTTATTCACAGACATGGAGTCCTTCGTTCTTAAAAACCGAGTGCCAGTCTGTTTACGCAAAAAGAACAACAGATCCGAAAGGATATGAACTGTACGAAAATGAAGCGAACGAGTTTAGAAAGTTTATTGTCGCGCTAGAGATGTTAGAGGTGAAACAATCGGGTAGAGAATTATGTGCGGGTGGGACTGTAAGTATTTGTGATATTTTTCAACTATACGAATTAACTTTTAAGCCTTCGATTTTTGGGAAAGGTTCGGCTTGCTAGAAGATTTCATATACATATATAAACCAAAACGGGCCCGCAAATGTTGTCAAAGGTTTTACGCTTATATTCGTGCTCCCAAAAGGGTGGGTGATCCATAGGTGGTCTATCTGATAAGTTACGGCATAGTTGGTCTATCTGATAAGTTGGGTTACCCTGGGGCCCAATGTCCAATGTGGAAACGGCAGTCAGTCGAGATGTATCCTTCATTATATTATAGGTGGCTCAAAAATTCATATTGACTCTATAGCATTGCACGATATGCATAGCTCAGAGGTAGTTCAATAACCAGGTAGGTACCCAGAAACGTTCCGTTTTGGGCTAGCTCGTTAGCAATTTCATTGCCATGAATGCTGCCGTGCTCTGGCACTAAGATCAGTGCAATAAAATGCCTACCAGCTAAATATTTGTTTTATTAGGTTAGATTTGATACAGATCCAAGTAAATTAATGTAACCCTACCTATCCGAGGGAATATCAATGACCGGGTCAAGGGTTATTTCATAGGGTAAAAACTAGCAACTTGAGCTGTTATTTTCGCTCTCTCAATTTCCCCTACTTTGCAAGTTTTTGCCTACGAAATAAACACAACTAAAGGCTTTTAAAGCTATTCAAGAAATGCGATTGTTTCAGTGATGACCTAAAATCTTACCAATGGGCAATTTTTGCTGGTTTGAAATAGCACATAGACGGAATAGGCTAAATCGGAAGCAAATGCTGGCAGGGGTAGCAATTCGTAACCCAAGCTATGGATTTTTTGCCAAGATGATTTTATACCTCTTCACTAGGGTGGTCCTTAAAATTGGAACATCATGCGTTTTTTCTACGTACCATATTTTAAAATTAAAAATATAATCAACAATTTATATTGAGCTCGAGGCCGTTTTAAATGAAAATTGTTATTGTGGAAAAGCAATAATAATTTGAAAAAAATGGTAGAAGTGATAGCTATTTCGGAAATCACCACATTTCCTCATCAGACTTCTTTCAGTAGGATTCGAACCGACGATCCCACTGACTCAGCCAGTTGCCTATGCACNAACGGCCTCGAGCTCAATATAAATTGTTGAATATAATTGTTATAAAAAGGCCAAAAAATAACAAGAACAATTAAAAATATAATAATTTAAAAGTCGCTCCCAGTATTTGAAAAATTGAAAAATTCGACAAAATTTTGACTTTTACCAGCGACCTTATGCATCTGTATAATAAAAATTAAATAATACGTCAAATTTATCAGATTTCTAGTCAAAACTTAATCAGATTTTTACGATAAAAAAATAGTTCTTTCACATCCTGGTAGCGACCCCTTAAATTTGTTTCTAAATTTTAAAATTTCCATGGATATCTTTATTTTGTAGATATGTAAAACAAAATAAAGGGATGACCAATACAAATTTAAATGATGATATTTTAAGCACCACCCTATTCTTCATACTTTCAAACGTTCGCTTGTCTTTGATATGTATAGTATACAACCAAGCCTTTGAGAAACACACAGCCTATTTATAAAATATTGCATTGCAAAATATTTGTTGAATTTTGCGTTTTGTTTTTGCATATTCCATATTTGGCGATTCCAAATACATACTTGACCACATTGTCATCCGTTAAGTATCTTATAAATTTCAAGCAACGGAAAGAATTATATAAGCAATCAAATCTGTGTGATTGCTACATGACGAATAATAAAGAAAGTTTTCTGAATTGCCTCGCAGAAAACCGAAAGCAGTTGGTGGATATTATAAAAAAATATTAAATGGACTAGACCAAAGGCAAGATTTGTATACCTATGTATGTATGTACAAATGTATATATATTTTTCTTGTAATAAAAATTTGCTGTTTGATTATACACTTTAACGGATATTAAATGCTTTATAAATACATATGTATTCATGTAAATTTAAAATTTCATCAGTGGAATTTGTCAACATTTTTTGTACAAAAACATTTAAGTAAACAAACCGAAAATAAAAGTGAAGATAATATGCCCCAACATACTAATATAATTATTACATACACACACACACACACTCTAACTGACACTGATATGTTTGTAAAACTACAGGAACGAATTAATAAATAAATATTGTACTTGTATATAAATATGCGATTTTATATTTTATCAGTAAACTGAAGTACATAAATACATTTAGATCTCCACATACTATTTATGTACATATATGTGTAATTCTATTACATTTTTTATAAAGTTTAAAATTTCTAAGGTACATTTTTCATATTTAGATAAATAACATTACTAGTTTTGGTTAAAAAATTGTAAAAAAATACACACACAAATATATAGACATATACAGTTATTAACGCGTATTTACCCACTGGGAAATTGGGTAAGCATCCTACAAGGTAATCTATGTTTTATTTCAGCTTTTAGTACTAAAATTGTCATCATGGGCAATGTCATCCAGCAACTTACACTTCAGCCGGCGCTCCTTACCACTTCCCTTAAAAAAGACGTGGCCGTCTTATGAAATTAGGAATTTAGAATGTACATTTTTCATCAGACATACTTATGAGCCGCTTTACCAAGTAAGGTATATAGAATGTAGAGCAACCGATCGGGGTAGTTCGGCACTCGGAAACAACTTCGGCGTTATTCATTTTGTTCTTTACTAGTAGTTAGATGGCAATTTTGGTACTAAAAGCTGAAAAAAAAACATGAATTACCTAGTAAGTTGCTTCCTTATTTTCCTAGTGGGTATGTAATTTCAGCAAATATCGATGAGTTTACAGTCGCAGTACGCCACATGTTAGGTCTTCCAAGTCTTCGTTAATGGTTTCAGCTGATCTTCAAACGTAATCGGTACGCGTATGCGAGTGATTTCGCTTCATCGAACTGGAGCAGTAGTTGTGCTAAGGGCGCATACAAACCAGAAATTCCTCGGTGCTGTAGCGATGCAAATGCAAAAAAAAAAACAGTACGAATATATAGCGAAATACATAAGTCAATTTTGAAGTAAAAATATCGTAAGGGATTTAAAAATACCTCCAGATTTTTAATTAGTAATTAAAACTTAGTGGCTATTTTATGTAAGAAGTAAAACAAACCAAATATTTTTTATTCATTTTTATATAAAAAAATTTGAATTACTACTTTCAGCTCTGTCGCACTCGGATTCAAACGACGGACGGTGAATTATCTGAGTGGTCAGCAATCGGGATTAAGCACGAAACACGGGAAAATTAAAGAGGAGGTCCCATAGGGTTGTGTGCTCCTCCAGTATGGTTAAAACAGTATACAGAGAGTAAGCTGCTAAAGGTAACCCCTTAAATTGTCGAAGGCCATTATATATGTAGAGCAGTCGTCACCGTATGAGATCCGTGTGAATAGCTCTGGTGGCTGCGGAAGCTTCGATATCGTTACCTTAATATAGAAAGACCCTTCCTCACCTCGTCGTTGAAATGCAAAAAACCCTACTAAAATTATGTATTGCATAAAACAATGTGAAAGCATCATAATCAATTAAAAAGTGAATTTGAGATTTTTAGCTAGTTAAGACTTTTTGTATTTCAGCGACGATGTGAGATAGGGCCTTTCTATATTAACGTTACAATATGTAGAAGTTGTCTAGATCAGGTCAATTTCTTAAGATATTTTCATTTTTATGCAAACAAAAATAAGCTTTAACTAGTAAAATATAACAGATTTCTTGTAAATTTGTTTCGTTTATATTAAGGCCCTTTCTTTTTTCCATAATCAAAATATCTAGAGGAAAATGTTCTGATCTAGAAAAATTCTGTACAGATCCGCAATGTACGGCCCAAAATTAAGGTTACGTGTATCTGCGTTTTTTGTGTCACTTTAGCGTTCCTACCGTGTATCTACGGTATAGAACCGCAACAATGTTCTCAAGTCGATCTCTGGCAGCACTTGGCGCAAAGACAATTAATCGGCTGTTTCTCAAGTATGTAACATGCAGTTGAATCCCCGTGGACTATTAGGTGGCACTGGAAAACCCAGAGGCATGGCATAATACAGCCTTCCGTAGTACGGACAACTACGGGATGTCGACAGAACATAATTTGTATAGAGAAGCGCGGAAATATAAAAGAACATAAATTTGTAGAGCAGTACTTTTCTGATAGAGCAGAAACAAATAACTGTTTTTTTTGGATAGTAAAATTATGGTTTTGTGTAGATTTTTTTTTTTGCATAAAGTTTGGTACCTTGAATTTCGATTCTATAGAATATAAACAAGTTTTGTAAATAGTTACTTAAAATAATACCATATATATATTTACATTATTTTGTTATTTATATTACATACATACATACATACATGCATATACAGGAAGTTTTCAATAAACACTAAAAATCAAAAGATTTTTTAATAAATCATACTTAATAATAAATAAATCTAATATGTGTTTAAATTTAATAAAAAATCTCAGATCGAAAGTTTTTATGAAATTTTCAAAATAACTAATAATAATTAGTTATTATCACATCGAGGTCGAAAAATTGATGCAAAAAAGTTGGCCAGCACTTTTATTGCACTACTTTACTATTCCCACATTTTCTTTCTTCAACGCGGTTTTTTTTTGGGCATCAGCGACTCGTCATTTGAAATCCTTTACGTATGTATGAATTGGTTTTCTGTTTTCACTCTGTACAGATTATGCGTGGTTAAATCCATTTGGTACGGGGCTACTTGATGTAAGTCTAGATTTTAAATAAATAAATGAACAAATAAGTATAAGAAATTATAAATTAAAAGAAAACCAAAATGGCACAAATATAAATAAAAATAATGGGAAGTGGTTTGTATGACAAGCTGTAATTTTAAGATACATAATAACTTCTTTTTTTTTGGTATATGGGTGTGAGATGCCAATTAAAAATCAACGGTCTGGCGCTTAAATCAAATCAATCAGTAGCATAGATTTGAAAACTATTATCTTAAGATAGGCTTAAGTGCCTGGTACAATTTCTTAATAAACAGTTTTGTAGAATAGTTTAACTCTCAAAATTCGATTTTGCTCGTTTATTAGAATCGCTTTTTTCCTCATCGATGAAACAGTTTGTGTTTAACATTTTTGTTTTAACATTTCAATCCCGCAACTTATTTTTAAACGAACGTAAATGGAAATTCTTCAACTACTATTCTTAAACAACTTATAAGGGTAAAATGTTCTAAACAAAAAAAGCCGAGAAGAAAACAAAATTTACATCACCTTCTCCTCATCCACTTACCGTAAGCTTTCAGTTCTTGAACGATGCGAGTCGTCCTTGGAGACACGATATCTGAAAGTGATTTGGTTTATAAATAAAGTGAAGTTGAAGGGATTGGACAAATGTTTTGTTATAAATATCTACAGTTTCGATACAACAAAAAATTAAAAATTTTGGAAAAAAACATTATAAGTAGACTAAGGATTTTTCCAGTATATCCCGTAGATTTTCATGCTCGAAATTTCTTCGCTAAAGCTATGGAGCATTTTTGTATGGAATATTTCACAACAACGAGGTTTCTTCAGTTAACTCCGCAGAAATATTTTTGTATTGATTTTTTTGTTTTATCAAAGTTCGTTATAAGGAGGTTTCACTGTACCGCATTTGATACAGTATAGTAGACAAATATTTTTGGTAATTTAAAAACTTGGCATATTTAATTTAAAATCAAGACTGGGCATTAATTTGTTGTAATTTAAAAACTGGACAATTTTCAATCGCCAAAAATGTATTCTAAGATTCGAAAATTATCAAAAAAAAAATTATGTCCTTTTTTTAAACGACAACAAATTTATGTCTAGTTTTTGAATTATTATAAATGATGATATCCTCGGATTTGCGAGTTCCCACACAAGTATTGCCAGTTTTAAGAACCTCATATCAGTTTTTAAATGGCTGGAATATGTATATGTATTCGGTTTTTAAAAAGTTACTAATTTATGTTTAGTTTTTAAATTACCAAAAATGTATTTCCAATTTTGAGTAAACAAAAAATGTATGTCCAGTTTTTAAATGTGTCAAAAGTTGTCAGTTATCTAAACATTATGTCCAGTTTTCAAATGACCAAAAATTGATGTGTAGTTTTAAAATTACTAAACATTTTGTCTAGTTTTTCAATCACCGAAAATTGATCTTCATGTTTTTAAATTACTTTCCATTCTAAATTGACTATAAAGTAATGTACAATTTTTAAATGGCAACAAATTTATATCTATCTTTTAAATTATGCCCAGTTTATCAAAAAATTTGAATCACCTACATATGTAGTTTTTCAATCACCACCATTTTTTCTGATTTTTAAGTAACCAAAAAATTGTGTCCAATTCTTAAATAACTAAAATTGTATGTACAATAAATAAATAAATAAAGCATTTAAAAAATATATAAATATGTATGCCCAACTGTTTATGCTCATATTTTTAATTTATGTACATTAGGCTGGGTCGATTTTGTATGGGGGAAAATAAAAGTCGT